CCTGTCTGTTCTGGGAGATGTGATCTCACAGTAGACTTTCTGGCCCTCTACCTCTTACAATCTTTCTAACCTCTCTTCCCAGAAGAACACCCTCTGTTCAAGCTGGGTACCCCATGATCAACTGTTCTCTGTATTTTGGCAGGTTGTGGTTTTCTGGATCATCTCTGTCTGCTGCAAAGAGAAGTTTCTTTGGTGAGGGATGAGAGCCACACTTACCTGTGATTCTAAGACTAAGTATTGAGGATGCAGTTAGGTGTCACTCTGTCCTAGTAAAGCCACAGTCCAAGCATGCCTCTACGATCCATGACCTCACTAGCCCTAGGTAGTTGTTGGTTACTGCCAAGACATGAGTGCCACTACTGCACCTTTAGGACTATCTTGCCACACTAGCCATTGTGGTTCACAGACTTTACAGCTGAATAGGTCTGTTGGTTGCTTTTCTCTTTAGGGAGTTTGCATAGCACCTTCTTTTACTATGAAAGCTAGTCATTAGGGAGGAGACTTTCAGGCTAGCTCTAGCTAGACTCTCCTGAGTCCTGTGTTTGAAGTAGGTGGTGTCTTCAACAATAGAGACTCACCTTCAACCTCGGGGAGACAAGCAAGGGCAACAGTAATAGCCTACGCTGTTTTGGAAGCCTCTTGAGTCCCCTTGACCAACAGCTCAAAAGAAGGTTCCTAATGCCTGGTGCTGAGGTTTTTGTTAGATGCTCTATGGCTCTTGGGGGAGCCCTGTCAGCCCAAGCGATGTAACGCCATTGTGTGTGTGTGCCACACAGAGACATCATTTGCCTAGTTGCATCATTCAACTAGGATGAGCTTTTTTCCCTTTAAGTAGCTGGATTGGTGAATGGCAGCACTTTTAAAATGGAGGTTGGCACAGAATAGACCCACAGAATCAACTAACCAGGGCACATAGGGGCTCACAGAGACTGAACCCACAATCAGGGAGCCTGCATGGGTCTGACCTAGGTCATCTGCATATATGTTATGGCTAAGTAGCTTGGTGTTCTTGTGGGACTCCTAACAAGGGGAGCAGGGGCTGCCTCTGACTCTTTTGCCTGTTCTTGGGACCCTTCTCCTCCTACTGGGTTGCCTCATCCAGCTTTGATATGAAGGTATGGGGCTAGTCTTATTGCAATCCCATGTTTGGTGGATATCCCTGGGGGGGGGGGGGCTGCTCTTTTCTGAAGGGGAATGGAGGAGGAGTGGATCTGGGGGAGAGGGGAGGTGGGGGTGGGAGCTAGGAGGAGAGGAGGGAGGGGAAACTGCAGTCAGGATGTAATAGACGGGAGAAGAAAAAATTAAAATATAAAATAAAATAAAATCAAGGCTAGGAATATATCGTGTAAAACTTAATTTTCTAACAGGCAGAGTGAATGGAAACTTTTTAGAGAATGCCTGGGAACTGAAACAATGCCTCCTACATATGAGCATTCCTACACTCTCCCTGCATCTCCAGAGCAGCTGACTTCCAGGATGGCTGACCAGTGCTAGAAAATCAATCCCTACAAATATGCAGTTACAGAAAAAAAAAGTAACATGAAATTACATGTTTTAGAGAAAGCTGAAAGTACTTCTTAACCTCCCTTTAAGAGTTTCAGGTGGTTTGAATCTTTACTATTTCTACACTACACGCCCAAACTGGCAATTCTTCTGGAGGAGGGGTGCAAACCAAAACCACATTTGCCCAGACACCTGCAGGCAATTGCTGGGTAAAGGTCCCTGGCTTCTGATGGAGGACATTATATCACTCAGCAGCAAAAAGCACCATGCAGACTTGAGACCCTGGCTTCTGAGTCTGGTGTCATTATTTCATCTTATCCATCCCAAATCAAAGCCATTTGTTTATAGAAGAAGGTTCACATACACACACACACCAAAGCTCATTGTCCAAGTCAACACATCTTGCAAACTCATTCATCTCCATGCTTAGTTGGCTACTGAATTAGTTATTACGCTCATTGCTGTGGCCAGATGGATACCTAACAAAAAGCAACCAAAGGAAAGGTTCACTTTGTCACATGTAGGAGTGTCCATGACATTGTGATGTGACGCTGTCATCCACAAATGTGTCGGGCCACATTCATAGCTGTGCTAGGACACTAGGCTGGTTACCGCTGAAGTCTAAGAAGGATACAGTCTCTCATCGGGGAGAAGGCATGGAGATAGCAAGAGTGTAACGCAGCTGGCCACAGTGCACCTGCAGTCAGAAAGCAGTGTGCAGACAAGAGGTGGGACCAGACGATCCAACCTCAAGGCTGATCCCCAGTGATCCACTTCCTCCAGCCTCCACCTTCAGAAGACTCTCTAAACCTTTCCAAACAGGGCCGCTATCTAGGGACTAAGACTTCAAACACATGAGCCTCTGGAGGGCATTTCTCATTCAAACTACACTTGCCACCATAATATGTTCTATTGCAGATGACAGCAGAGAGTCTGATGATGGGACCCGGGCAAGCTACTAGGCCTCAGTAACCAGCCCTCAGGCTCCGGATCTGCACAAAGTCATGGGGGCCTTCCTCCTAGTGCTTCCAGCCATGTTAGTCAGCTTCTCATCACTGGAGCAAAATGCTTGAAATAATCAATGTGGGGAGAAGAAAGGCTTGTATTGGTTCAGTTTTGAGGGGGGCTGCGGAGACCTCTCAGGCAGCAAAGTGCACATAATGCAAGCACAAAGGGCCTGAATTTGATGCCCAGGACAAATACTTTAAACAAATCCATATGTGGTGGTACATGCTTATAATTCTTTGGGCAAGATGGGTGGTTCCTGGGAAACAATATCTGAGGTTGATCGCTGGCCTCCACATGTACACACACACACACACACACACACACACACACACACACACACACACACAAGCATGGGGGCTGGAAGCTCAATCCATGGTCAGGGACCTGTGGTGATACAGCATATTATGGTAGATGCATGTGAAGAAATAGGGCCCCTCATCCACAGCCGAGAGAGAGAGAGAGAGAGAGAGAGAGAGAGAGAGAGAGAGAGAGAGAGAGACTAGAGTGCCACTGTCCCCTTTAAGAACATACATGCTGTGACCTGAGACCTCCTCCTGAACCTCACCTACCAGCAGCACCAGGCTGGGGACCAAGCTTTTTCTACACAGGACTTTCCAGGGCACACTATATCTAAACTTTAGAAACTGAACTGAACGAGCTGGCACATGGTAGCCATCTGCCCAGTGTCTGACTGCCGGGAAGGCCCTTACATACTCAGCTGTTAAAACTGTTAATACTTTGAGACAAGGGCTTATGTAGCCCCAGGTGGTATCAAACTCACAACGGAGCTGAGGATGACTGGACCCCCGATTCCCATGCCTCTGCCTCCCAAGTGCTAGGGTTACAGGTATGCACCACTACAGCCAACGTGCTGGGTAGAATCCAGGGCTTCATGCCTGCTGAGGCATCTGTCAACAGTGACACATCCCTAGTCTTATAATCATTATTATGATGGTTGCTTAACTGTAGTGAACCCTCAGCTTTGAAAGAAAAAAAAAATCCTATAATCATCAGGGATGCCCTGACAGCTCCTCTGGGATTGGACAAGACACCTGCACTCCTTGAGATGAGCTCTGTAGTCTTTTCAGAGAGCTTCTTTGTCTGCGTGGTGAGTACACATGCACATATGTGTGTTGTGCACTTGCGTGTGGGGAAGCCAGAGCTCTGTATCAAATGTCTTCCTCAGCTACTTCTCCATATTAGTCTTTAAGTCGGCGTCTCTCTCTGTGCCTGGGTTAGGTTCGGCCAGCTGGGCGGTAAGCTCCAGGGATGATAAGCCTGTGTTACCATACCTGGCTTTTAAACATGTGTTCTGGGGAATCTTAACTCTGGTCCTCATGGTTGCAGGGCAAACACTTTGCCCACTGAGCCATCTCCCCCCCCCCCCCCCGCAACCCCAAAATCTTCTGTTCCCATGGTGTCTGTTGTCAACAACCAGCTCTTTGATGCCAACTTGTCCTGAGGGCAAACTGCTTCCTGGAGAACGAGGCTATCCTGAGTACACTGTCAGTGCCTCTACCTGCTCTTTAAACGTAGTGTACCCCTAAAATTTGGGTTCCTACGTTAGAGACCGGGATTACTCCCTTTGAAATTTGTTCTGTATTCAGAGAATTCTAGGATTTAATAAACTCATGGTTGGAAGCCGTCTCTCTCTCTGGCCACTTATTAGGCAATAGCAGAGATAATATCTAGATATGTGGTATGTGGTCCTAGCATGAGACAGATGGTTTGAACAATAACAAATGAAAGAAAAACCTTGTTGTCTAGTATAACACAGGAGCTAATTTAAAAATAGGCCTTGTCATTGGGGTGATGGCTTGGTCAGTAAAAACACTTGCCATGAAGCATGAGGACCTGAGTCTGATGCCCAGAACCCATATAGAAAAAGCTGGGTATGGGGGCGGGAGAGATGGTTAAGAGTATACATACACTGCTCTTACGGAAGTCTTGAATTTAGCTCCCAACACCTCTATAAGGCAGCTCACAACCACCCATAACTCCAGCTCCAGGGGAATCCAATGCCCTTTGCTGGAGTCTGAGGATACTGCCCACACACATACATATACATTGCACAGACACACATACAGAGAGAGAGAGAGAGAGAGGGAGAGAGAGGGAGAGAGAGAGAGAGAGACAGAGAGACAGAGAGACAGATAGACAGAGACAGAGAGAGACTTTGATTTCAATAGCTCTTTATTCATGGATACAGCAACTAAAATAGCTGTCAGAACAATTTTGTCCAAAGCGAAACCGTGTCTGTCACATTCACTGTAGATTCTGTATGACCTCCATGTAGTCACCCAAAAGGACTCCCAGCATAGCGCAAGCCTGAGAGTTCTTACACCCCAAGCCATCTCCTAGCTCAGGGGACAAGAACCCTTTCTGTGGGATGAGTTAAGGAAAAACTATGCACTCAGATCTGGGCTCAAAGTAACGGCTGGCCTACGGGCCGCACATGCTAACCCCACTTCTCTGGGCCTGTGTTGCAGGGATCATGTACCGGAAGTCATGTGCGTCGTCAGCAGCCTGTCTCATCGCCTCGGCTGGGTACCAGTCCTTCTGCTCCCCTGGGAAACTGAACTCCGTATGTATCAGCTGCTGCAACACTCCTCTCTGCAATGGGCCGAGGCCCAAGAAAAGAGGCAGTTCTGCCTCGGCCATCAGGCCAGGGCTTCTCACTACCGCCCTGCTCTTCAACTTAGCCCTCTGCTTGGCACACTGCTGAAGCTCAAGGAGATGCCAACCCCTGCTGCACCATCTGTCTGGCCCGCACTCTCACCTCCCTGAGTCTCTTCTGGGTGTCCTTTTATTCTGGGTAGACAAAGGGGTCCTTTTGTTCCCTTTCAAGTAACGCAAGATTGCCATGCACAAACACTTTGTAAGCTCTGAAGCAATTCAGTCTGAATTTCCGTGTGTAGTTGAAGAAAAAGCATAGCACGGAAAGCCCAGATCTTCCTGTCCCAATCCATGTAGCCACCGCCAAGGCCAGCCTGGAAGAATCAGCCCTTAGAAATCACTGAGATATGCATCTGCCCTTCCCAAAGCCTCGAGTTTCCATTCTGTCCCTGATAGGAGTCACAGTCTATTGGGGAACTGCTGTGTGAAGGTGACTTCGCTTTTGTGGGAGGGAAGAGCCAGTTTCTGCTCAAGGCTTCTGAACTTGACATTCACACTTCTTGCTCCTGTAAACCATTTTCTGTGGTGGCATCAGCTGGTTTGGTCTCTGAGTCAGTCTGTGGTGACTCAGGACTCAAGGGCTGGGGCTTAGCCTCTCCGGGCCTGGCCTCGGCCTGAAAAGTGCTTAAGAAGACCTTGTTAGTTCTCCGGGAGGAAGAGTTTCTCTGAGAGTTCCGCCGGGAGGCTAGGAAGATGAGGGGACTGCGGGCTGAGCTGGTGCTGGCCTTGGCGGAGCTGAAGTGGGCACGCAGGCGTTTCTCCTGGTTGGCATGCTGCAGAGTCAGCCGGCAGCAGAGCACCTGCCAGAACACCTTCCGGAACTGCTGAGAGGACACATTGTAGAGGAGAGGGTTGACCACGGAGCTGAGGTAGAAGAAGGTGTTGGAGAAGGGGAGAAGGATCATGTAGGCCCTGAAGTACGGCTTGGTCCATTCATCCTTGGGTTTGGCTGCAGCCATGATCCGCCGCACCTGATTTGGCATCCAGCACACGGCCAGTGTCACCACGATCAGTCCTGGGCAGGCAAGAACAGGAGAGAAAAAGAGATGGGGGAGAAAAACAGCATGAGAACAAAAATAAATAAATAAAACCCATAAAATATTCAGCCCTTGGTTCTGTTGCTTACTGGCCAGGAAACGGTACCAATTTTTCAGTGCTGTGCTTGACGGCTTCTTTTTGCCACTGGCAAAGGAGAATTTAATGCTGCTTCAAGCTCGGGGGACTTGGCTATGTTAAAGAGCGCTAAATGCTTTCGACAGTGTATTTATACCTGTGGATGCCCGTTCATTTTCAAAATGTTTTCATTGTTGCGCGTGTATCCAGAAAATATCTCATGTTGGCCATAAATCTGGTTTTGTCTTTTTGTTTCTGGGTGGGCCCATAAGCTATAGCCACACTAGGTGAAATGGTATTGTTTTGTAAATAATGACTGAACGAAGAAGACCCAGTGACATTCTTAAGTCAAATGGGGGTTGTTTCTCTTTGGTTAAACAAATATATTTCATGACAATGAGTTTGCATCGAATTTCAGGAGAAGCCAAATCAGGGACAGATTATTATAGAGAAGTACCACTCAGTCCCCCTCTTGGTGCATGAGACATTTGGATGCCCTGTGCTTGAGTTCTGCCTTACATAACCACAGCCACTTCTACAGTTCTGACAAACTGAAATCGGCAAAACAAGACATTTTACATAGACATATATATGTAGATGAAGTAATATATAAATATATGTCCCCAAAGATATACACACCTCTATCCATGATGCTTCTATCTATTTCAGTAAAGCATTTTCGGAACCAATGCCCCTCCTACCTTCACATGGGAAAACAAATTATCCCAAACACCCAAATCTCTGAAACTCATTTTGTGTACAGACAGGGGCACACCCTCTGCCTCTGTAGCACTGAGCTGCAGTGTGGATGGCCAGGAGTGAGGAGGTCCTACCGAAGAGGGAGGTACTCAGCTCACCCCCTTCCAGACACTCATTTGGATGCCCCACGCTTTCATTCTGGCTTACATGATCACAGAGTCTTCTATACTCTGACAAACACCTGGAATCACAAGATGGCTAGACTTTATCAACAAGAAAAATAAGCCCTGGGAATCTTTTGGGCTTTCTCTTTTCTCAGGAAACTGAGCAGCCAGAGCAAAAATTCCCATGAGGGGGGCTGATATCTTAAAGCAAGAGTCTGATGGGACCAGTGAGATGGATGGTCAGCAGTTAAGACCTAAGTTCTGTTCTGAGTACCCACATCAGACAGATCACAATGGCCCGTCACTCCAGCTGCAGGGGAATTTGACCCCCTTCTGGCCACCTCAGCACCTACAGTCCTGCACACACCCCTCCCAACACATACAAAATTAAACGTATTTTTTTTTTTAATTTTGCATTTTACAAGTGTTTCCTCCCACTCTGACACCAATTTTCTAGGAAACTACGGAGAAGTAACAATTGGTAGTCACTGTTTCTTGCCTAGAGTAGATGGTAAATAGATCATTAGTTAATGGTCGAGGGCATGCAGACATGTTCATGAGCCCAAGGTTACCCGAGTATCCTGTGGCTGATGAAGGAGGAGACCTTGACAGTACATAACTCAGCTGCCCCCAAAGACAAACCCTCTAAACAAAGCCATCTGTCAGCAGGGAGGGCCTGGGAAACTCTGGTCCTTTGTGAATTTCTAAAGATTCCTTCTGTCAAACCTCAGCCAGGGCTTTGAGATAAAAACCAATCTGCTTGTTTCTTCCCTTTGAATTTGCTTTCCTGAGAACAGTCAGTAAATCTAGGAATAAAATAGGCAACGCAACATATTGATCCGATGAAAGAGCAAAATAAATAAATAAATACTATCTCGAGTCAAGAGCAGATTCCAAATCACCTTGTTACCACTGCTGGATAAAAACAGCAAAAACAGACACTTCCTGATTTAAAAAAAAAAAAAAAAACACAAAAAACAAAAAAAAAAACACTTGCACAGGAAGCTGGGACTTTGAGGAGCTCCCAGCCACCCAAGCCAGACTTGTTTTGAAGTTGTGTAGTTCTGAGTTCAGTATTGATTATGAAGGAGAACAGATGCCTGACTATGTGAGGAAGCTACATGTTTTCACAAAGCTTCACGTTTGTTTGTTTGTTTGTTTGTTTCTGTCACTGAGTTTTGCCAAACAAGTCTAGCCCATGATCTGAGGATGTGTTTGTTAAAACATGGAAATGGAGCACACAGCTTTCTGTGCGCGCTCTGCGACATGGTGGGAAGTTGCTCTCTGCGGATCTAGAAAGCTGACTAGGAGCTCCTTGTACCCCCCACAGGCTGAACATGGCACAGCTCTGAGAGCCAACCGGCAAAAGAGATGAGAGAAGGCAGGGTGGGAAGGGGAGAGGTGTTGGGGAGGAAGGGGAGGCACATCAGGACAGAGGGGGAGAGACGTTGGGGAGACAGGGGAGAGGTGTTGGGGAGACAGGGGAGAGGTGCTGGGGAGACAGGGGAGAGGTGTTGGGGAAGAGGAGGAGGAGAAGTGTCCTAAATCTCTTTCTGCAGTGCATTGCCCTCTGTTCTCCTCATCACCTGCTTACACATCCTTTCGTTAGCTTCCTGCATGCGCTTGCTCAGCCCCAACCATCCTTCATCATCATCCCATTGAAAGAAGGAGATTTTAGTTTAGTTTAGTTTTTTTTTTTAAGAAGAAGAAAAAGAAGAGAAAAAAGAGGAAGAGCAGGGGGAGGGGGAAGAAACCCAGTGTCCAGGTAGACGAAAAGGGATGGGCCAGACTGTGATCCAGAGCTCGCTTTGTAGTTTCAGCCAGGATTTGTGAAATTGAAATGAGATAGCAAACGGCAGCTGGGTCTGTTTGAATGAGTAGCAGCAAATGGGAGAAAAGATCAGAATTCCTCCATGAGAAGGAGCCTGGTAAGGAAGCTAGGCTTTCTGGCTGTGGAAGTAGGCTGGTAGGACAGTGAGTTCAGACTTGGAAGAAGAAAGACAGAGTGTGAATAAAAATGGATGGGTTCTAACCGGTACAGACAAGCAGGTCTAGACATAGACCATGGAGCTGGGAAACTAGCTTCCTCCACTCCAGCTTCTGTGCTAGGCACTTACTCCTCACATGGGGTTTTCTCCTGACAACCCAGACAGGTCAACGCAGTCAGGATCTTCACTTAACCTGCCCATCTCCCAAACCTGTGATGCAGGATCCCTTGTCCTCTCAAGATGCAACACTGCCAATGTCTCCTGTTTTCAGTTTGTTAAAGAAACACAGGCAATGTGGCTACAGAGGTGGCTTAGCTGTTAAAGTGCCTGCCTCCCAAGAGTTCAGGTCTCTGGTACCCACGTGGATGCTGGATGGACAGGATAAAGAGCCCACCTGTAGTGCCAGCCTTGGCAAGTGGACACTAGGGGTTCCCAGAGAAACATGGGTAGTAATACTAGCCAGATTGGTGAGCTCTGGGTTTGACTGAGAGGCCTTGCTTCAGTGAATAAGGTGGAAGAGTTAATTAACAAGGATCAAGAACTGGACGTCAACTTTAGGTCCTCACAGGTGCACACATATGCCCTCACACAGGTGTCCACATACCTATGCAAACATGCATGCATGTACATGCACATAGCACACACAAAGAGACAGACCTGAAAATGGAAGGAAAAAAAAAAAACAGGCAAGAAAGAAGTCATTAACTGTGACCCATATATGATGTCACTTTACCCACTAAAATAACAGAAGCCATACATTTAATTTAAAGTTTTTCAAGCACATTAAAAATGACATCAGTGACAACACATTTTGATTAATTAATTGATTTTTTTCATTTATTTCATATACCAGCCATGGTTTCCCCTCCCTCCTCTCCTCCCATTCCCTTCCCCCACCTCCCGATTAACCCCATCCACTCCTCCTCCATTCAGAAAGGGGCAGGCCTCCCATGGGAGCCAACGAAGCAGGACACATTGAGTTGACTCAGGACCAAGCTCCTCCCCCTGCATCAAGGTTGGGCAAGGTAACCCAGCATGGGGATTGGGTTCCCAAAAGCCAGCTCAAGTGCCAGGGGCAAGTCCTGATCCCACTGCTAGGAGTCCCACAAACAGAGCAAGCTACACAATTGAGTGACAAGAATTTTTATAATGCTACTTAACTCACATATATATATAACTGGATTTCTTATGCAAGTAAAATATGGAATCACTATGAAAATATCATTGGTGAGATTTTTTTTATTCTTCACTCACCCCTGCCCCTTACTAATTCCCTAACATGTACACATTCAGCACCAAGGACCCTCCTAAGTAGACTGCATTTGCAACACTACCAAGTATTGCTGAATTGGATTTCTGAATGTATATCCCTGACTACAGTGTAGGCTGTCTTGCCAGCCTCTCACTAGCCTTCCATAAAAGTGTTCGTCACATTATTCAAAGTCTACAATGTTCTGAAAGTACAAAAATGTCTTCTGCATATCCCATCCCAAACTCTGACTCTCGGGAACACACAAGTCATGCCAACCGCCTTGCGGAGCTGTTGACATATCCTTCCCCCACCTCAACTGGAGGTGAGAAAAATGGCTTCCACTCTGTTTAAAATGATAATTTTGTTCTAGGAAAATGGAAATCTGGGTCTACAAGGTTCCACCAATGGCAGTCTGAGTCATGTGCCCACAGGCAGTGTGAGAGTTCAGTTAGCCTTCCTAGAACAGGAGGTCAACCAGCCCCTTTGTGCAAAATTTATCAATTCACAATGACACGTAATTGTTCATTGTTACATTTGAAAAAAAAATTCGTCCTTTTCTGCAACACACTGTTGAGACTAAATACCGTACCTACCATGTCCAGAGGTAACTTCCTATTTTGACTGTTTGAAATTGATTCAACTCCAGTCCCAGCTACTCTATAGCTAACACAATGCTTTAAAGTCTTATTCATGGCTTAATGGAGTGCATTAAAGATTTGACTAAATTTATGTTTGGCTGCAATCAATTTAGACTTGTGTATTACATTTGGGGGAAAAAAATCTATACTGCTTTGGTCTGTGTGGTGCAGCATGGAGCCCATGTATAAACAGCATGAGTGTGAACTTGAATGAAGACTGGCGAATTGAACCCTCTCACGTAGAGCAGGTAAACTGTCTTCACTGGATTATTAATGGGTCGGTATTATACCCCAGACAGCACTGAGCTTTGGATTTTGAAATACTTTCATATCTTATCTGCTTCTCCACATAAAGCACGTCTGGTTTTGCTCCTCCATCACCACAATAAAGTGACAAGACCCATTAGACAATGACTCACACACATCCTTGGCAGAATGATGTCTACAAACGAGGTGCAGGGCTGGAGAAATGACTCAGTGGATAAGGCGCTTGCTGCATGAGTGTGGGAACTTGAGTTCTTCTCCAGAACCCACATAAAGCTGGATGCCATAGCGTGTGTGTGTGTAATCCCAACATTCCTACTTCAACACAGGAGGTGGAGACGGGAGCATCCCTGGAACCTCCCAGACCAGCTAGTCTGGTTCGTGCAGCAGCGAGATAGAAAGCCCATCTCAAAAAACAAGGTGGAAGGCAAGGACCAAGGCACCCGAGGTTGCCCTCTGACCTCCACGTGCAATGTGTTCCCTGGCGCTGGCACAGCTACACTGGCACACATGAACATTGTCCTGGTTTGCTTTCTGTGTTGCTGCGATAAACACGATCAAAAGCAACTCGAGGAAGAAAGAGATTATTTCATCTTAAAGGCTAGAGTCCGTCATCAAAGGGAGCCAAGGCAGGAACTTATAGCAGAAACCACGGAGGAAAGCTGTTTATGGATTTGCTCCCAGCTCTACGTTCAGCTATCTTATATAATGAAGGCCCCCGTTACTCCCAAAGACGGCAGGAGAATGACCACCGACCCAAATCATCACCGCAAAATTAAAGCAAGCAATTAATTAAAGCGAGCTTTCTTACTCATGTACACGAGCTCCCTCCCTGCTAAGACAGGGTTCAGAGAGCAGCATGGGATGTAAGGAAGACAAGGTTTTTATAGCTCAGGGATAGGGGGTTTCCAAGTGGGGAATTTAGCAGACAAAACAGGCAGGACTACAGGAGTGGAGGATAAGCATAACAAGTTAGTCCCAATGACCTCCTGAAACAAAGACATGATTGCAAGGCGGTCGTAACAAGGCAGCCATAACAACCTTTTGAAACAAAGGTAGGGTTACAAGACTGTTATTACAGCTTCTTAAAACAAAGATACAGTTGTCATTTCCTGGAATAGGCAGTACAGAACCATTTGTAGTTACAATTACAAGTGGGGCATAGCCCAATCCTAGAGAAACAGATTTAATCACAAACAGGAATGAACCTAGTTTGTCTTTACTATAAGATGACTTTCAAGCCTAAGATGGAGGCAGGCTGGTTCATCAGCCCATCTGCCTCAGGATGGTACCACCCACAGTGGGCTGGGCCCTCCTCCATCAAGTAGCAATCAATAAAATCTTTCACAGACACGCCAACAGGCCAGCCCGATGGAGGCAATTCTTCAGTGGAGGTGTCTCTAAGTGTGTGTCCGATTGACAGCTGAACCTATGACAGTCACGCACACACAAAGATTAAAGAAACTCTCACGCTAAAAACAGAAGCAATGCAGACGTCTAACTCCACACTCTGGGTGTGGTGGCATGCATTTGTAATCCCAGCATTGAGGAGATGGTGGCATCTCCACAGCTCTGGGGGCAGATGGCTTGGTTTAGTTTTCACAGATTCATTTGGTTCTGCAGCCCTGGACACGGTGGTATTGCCTTATCTAGGACTATGCTCTCCTTTCTCCCCTCTGATCTTTAAGGTGAAGGTCATTATCAAGTATATCCCTGTGGTCATCTCAGAGTCTCAGAAGAGAACATCTCCTGTCACAAATGAGGACACTAAGCCCAAGTGGTCTGTCCAATATCTCAGGCTCAGAGCACA